ATGCAATAGCAATATCAACTTAAACTAAATCAATGGCATGTGAATAAATAATTAAAAATTTTTTCCCTTAATTTCCCCAAATATCCCAGATTGCTTTGTGCAATCTGGACAAGCTCTCTACCTACCACTGAGCCGCATCCTCAGGGCATAACATCTTTCAGTAGTTGGTTTGATTGAACCAGGACACAAGTGAGATTTACACATACTTCGTTGATATCATTTAAGTCTTAATCAATAGGCAATCAGTTTCTCTCACTTTTTTTTTTTTTTTGTGGTACTGGGATTTGAACTTGAGGCCTCCCACTTGGTAGGCAAGCATTCTACCACAAAAGCCACTCTTCTAGCCCTTTTTGCTGAAGTTATTTTTCAGATAGGATCCCTTGCATTTTGTCCAGGGCTGAACTCAGACGGCAATCCTCCTATCTCCCCTCCTGAGTAGGTGGGATTACAGACATGAGCCACGTTGTCTGGCTCCTCCATGTGTTTTTAATGGCTTGTTACTAGTTGAGGAAACTGGGTGATCTACCCTTCAGAGTTTCTAACATTGTGGATTTTGTTGATTATACTATGCATTAGTATTGTTAAACATATTCTTCAATTCCAGCACTGTGCATAACCTGGCAGTTGGATCTAGAAGTGGGCTGAGATTCAGTTTGCCCTTTTGAGTAAATGTGAGTTAGTTGTGGACTTGTGACTTTCCATCAGAAGGTATGCAATTCATGGCAAGCTCTTCTGTGATGGTCCTGGACAGTTATTGATGACCATCACCTTGATCCATTATTTTCTTAAGGTTTGAAAAATGCTGGTATTCAAAATTTGTCATTTCTTACTTATTGGTTGGAAAAATATCATTGTCAACTAGTCATACAGAGACACACCTCGTACATGTCTTAGCCTGGGTCTCCCAGGAAGTAAAGCCCACAGGCAAAGGCTTTCCTGGGGTTCATGGTCCTAGAGCAAGACTGAGGGGCAGGAGAGGCAGGAAAGCCATCTGGAGAATCAACTGTCCCCTGCTGCTGCTGCTTCAGGCACCTGATTGGATGCCCGTGTGACCAGGTGAGCTGTGCACAATGAGCCTCAGTTTAGCTGCAGACAGGGGAGGAGCTTTTAGCTCTCAGCTCCTATGTGTCCCTCACTGGTCAGAGGTTAGACCACGAATGTTAACTTACCCACACTTCAGGGTAGGGTATGCGCAGGCACGAAGGTTTTCCATGGATCCCCACACTGTCATTAAAATAGAGACCCTTGGATGGGAGGTGAGAAGTGAGAGTGTTTTCAGATTTCTCCTGCATCAGATGGTCAGAGCACACCTGGAGCTTGTTCCTGTAGCAGTGGCTGGAGTGAGAGTCAGGTGAGGCTGAGAAGGTCTAAAATGGTACTTCAGGGCTGGGAGTGGTGGTACATGTCTGTGGAGAGACAGGAGGATCTTAAGTTCAAGTCCAGTCTAGGTTATATAGTGAGACACTGTCTCAATAAAAAAAAAGTATGTAAGAAATGTTAGCGCCAACCCAGAAAGGGCAGGGGAAAAGTGTCATTCTTTCCCTTTATTTTGCATTTACCAGCTTTTAAAATATTGAAGCAATTCTACTGCATTTACGAAGTTGGCTAATTAGAGTGGGTTTTAAAGAAATAACATATGGCCCTGAATACTTGATATGTCCCAATTCACTTCAATTATTTTTCTTACTAATGCTAATTTTACCCCACTTTGGCCAGTGGGAGGTTCTAAAAGATGCTTCCAGATGCTGCTGCATACTAGTCTATTTTGTCTGATAGCTTCCGCGCTTTCTGAATTGACAAGATACTCCAGGGTTATTTTGGATACTTCTTGTCTTAGACCTAAAATCAACCATTTCTCCAAGGAGGCCTGGTTCCTTTTAAAGGAGAAACTTATTTGTTTATCTATCTATTTATTTGTTTGTTTATAATTTATTTTGCAGGACTGGGGTTAGAACTCAAGGCCTCAGCCTTTTTTAGGCAGGTGCTTTACAGAGAAATGAATTTAGAAAGCACAGTCTGGGATCCTGGGATCTTGGGGAGCCACTCCTATCAAGTTGGTCATTATCTGGTGGCATTTTTCATGAGTACCCCTGGTCTTTTTTTTTTTTTTAAGGAAAATATATCATGGGTTCTAAAGAATAATTACAATTCAATTTTTTTTTATTTTTAAAAAACTTTTTATTATCATATTATGATAATTATTATGGGAGTACATTGTGACAATTACAAAATGCTTACAATATATCACAGTTGAATTCACCACCTCCATCATTCTCCTTTATCCTCCTCCCCCCATTCTGGAAACAGTTTCAACAGGTCTCATTGTTCTATTTTCATACACCCTCCTGCACCCTTTCCTTATGTCCTCCTTGTTTAATGTCTTTGACTTTCCTTTATACTGAAAACTCTTTTTTTTTTTAGTGCTGGGGCTTGAACTCAGGGTCTTCACCTTGAGCCACTCCACCAACCCTTTTTTGTGATGGGTTTTTTGCCCGGCCTGGCTTCGAACCCGGGATCCTCCTGATCTCTGCCTCCTGAGTAGCTAGGATTAGAGGTGTGAGCCACTGGCGCCCAGGGTACTGAAAACTCTTGTTTCCTAAGGATATTGACATAATTCCTTACTTCTAACATTATTATGATTACTGAAAAACAATTTATTTTGTTTTGTTTTTGAAACAGAGTCTTGCTATGTATCCCAGGTTGGCCTCAAACTCAGGATCCTCTGTGTCAGCCTCCCAAGTGCTGGGATTACAGACATATACTACAAAACCCATCTATTATTTTTTTAAGTTCTCCTCATCCTTAGAAATGTCCCTAAGGAGTGTAGAGTCAAATAATTGTGTTTAAAATCACCAAAAATAATTTCCCTTCACATGATTAAGCTACTGACTTGATACCTACATTTATTTGCTATTCCCTTTTTTTTTTGGTGGTACTGGGGTTTGAACTCAGGGCTTCGTGCTCACAAAACCACACTACTTGAGCCACACCTCTAGTTCATTTTGCTGTTTTTTTTTGGAAATGGGTGCTCCCTAATTATTTGTTCAGGCTGGCCTCCAACCTCAATCTTCCAGCTCTCAGCCTCCCATGTAGGTAGGATTTACAGATGTGAGCCACTGGAATGCTGCTTGCTGTTTCACTTTTGATTATTTAAAATTTGATTTAATTTCGTTGCATAATTATAGAAAATATTTACATCACTCCAAAGTCAAATCTATAAAACAAGGCTTATTCAAAGAAGTCTAGCTTTATCCTTATCTCTTCTATTCTGTTCCCTCCTCTCCTTCACAAATTAATTTTAATAATTTATCTTTCCATTAAAAAAAGCAAATGCATGCATGTGTTCTTCCTTTCGTAGTAAGTAGTGTACACTAGGTACACATTTATTCACTTTACTAATACTTCCCCTTATGATACACTCTCTGTCTTTCTTGTAATAATATTGTTTTGGGGGGGGAGGGGTTGGCGGTACAGGGGCAGGCAGGCGTTTACCGCCCGTTATCTTGAAATAACTTGTTAACAGGTATCCCCCAGAAGTCTCATATAAATAAACTTGAGTTTTGTAAAAACTACTGTTAATCATTCCATTACTTCTGGCAAAGTTTTGTGTAGGAAGAAAGGAGAGGTTGGCAGTCTTAAGCAAAATTGTCTGGAATAAGTGATAGTTATCTTCACTGCATTTAAAAAATTCTAATAAAGTATAGACAACGTAATATTTGCCATCTTAACCCCTTTTAAAACTGTTCAGTACATTAAGTGCTTTCATGTTGTGCAGCCATCACCATTATCCATCTCCAGAACTTTTCATCTTTCTAAATTGAAATCCTGTACCCATTTAACCAATAATTCCTGTTACTCTTTCAGGATATCTAACAAGACCAGGTTAAGTGGAAGGGGCACCTGCGTGGGCACTAGCAGACTTCTTCCTTTCCAAAGGTACAGGGACTGGTGAGGTGACTGAGCAGGCTCTGGGTTTAGTGCTCCGCCCTCACCTATTGTCCCAGAGGAGGAACCGGTATTTCCGGATTGGGCCCTCGGACCGAGTGATCCCGGCTAAGGGCGAGACTAGTGGGGGAGGGGACCGGAAACTAATCATAAAAGCTAACTTTTCCTCAAAAATCATTAACCTGTTTCTCTTCTTCTCCAAACAAAATCAGTGGCCCCACTACGCACAGGGGCCCACAGACATCCTTCTGGTATCCTCGAAGAGTGGCTGAGTTGACCCCTTCCTCGCCCGCACCCCTGGAGAGGATCAGAAAGTACATCTAGACATGAATAAATAAACTCAGCGAATTCCTCTTGCACTTGCGCGGGAAGCTCGGCTGGCTTTGCAGAGAAGGGTGGAGGCGGGGATGAGGGGTGGGCGCGCGGACTAGGGTGACAAGATCGCCCTTGTGACCACAGTCCCTGCCCCATCGCTGGGTGGCGTGAGTGAGGGCTCCCTCTCAGTCCTTCCCGACACCCCCAAAGTAGCGCGGCAAGAAGCTGTATCTTTTTTCAGGGTCTCCTGCGCCCGGCACCCTTCAGATCTCGAGGGAGCAGGTGACAAACGCTCCCAGCCCTTTCCGCTCTGGGCCGTCGCTCCCCAGCTCGCCACTGCTCAGCTCCCCCTGCCCCCACTCTGGACATATATTTTTTTTCTTTCTTCTAAACCTCCAAACAGGAAATAGCCTGAGTCACAATACACAGGAGCGGAGGCCACTCACGCCCGCCCAGTCCCGGCCACCTCCAGCACTCCCGGCTCAGGCCAGCGACGCGCGCCCGCGGGGAGCGCAGGGGACACCGCTCAGCCGCTGGCGCCACCCGTCTCCAGGCGAGTACCTTCTCCCTCCCCTTGGTCTGCCCAGGGCAGCCCGCGAGGCTTTGGGGGGCTCCGCGCCGCTGGTCCCGGAGAGCCACCCAGGCACAGCCACCTGCATTCGGACGGTCGTCCGAATGCTTCCCTCTGGTCCAGGCATTTGCTAGGGAGGGATCTGCAGAGTGAGAAATTGCTCAGTTCCCTCAGATCGGTGTGCCTGCAGGGGTGAGGGACAGCGTGGGCAAATGGGATTTGATGTCGCATGGTGAGTTTGGAGTGTAGTTTTTTGGACGTTTTTTCCCATCTGGCTTTGGGGCAGCAGTGCATCACAGGGGTCTTTTAGGGACTCCTCCGAACTGAGTCTGCGCGCTACCCGGGCAGCTACAGGTGCCTGGCACCTTCGTCCCCTAGGGATGAAAACTTTCACTTTCTGCTGGGCATCCCTTTAACTAGATCCTAAGGCGCATGGAGTTTTTCTTGGCGTCCGGGGCGGAAGAGGCGCTGCTGGTTCGGAGGAAGCAGGTGCGGGCTGCGGGGCTGTCCGCGGAGTGTCTGGGCTTCAAAATCCCGCTGTCCCGAGCCTCGCAGAGCCGGGATCTCTGCCCTGCTAGCGGTGCTGCCTTGGAAAACAGCATATATATGTAATGTGTGTGTGTGTGTGTGTGTGTGTGAGATATATGTAATGTGTGTGTGTGTGTGTGTGTGTGTGTGTGTGTGTGTCCTGTTGGTAAGGGAGAGGCCGAATTGTCAACATGCAGGGCGTTGTCAGTTTCACAGAGCTAAGTTACAAAGCTCTTTTATAGGGAACTCTCAAGTCAAGGCCAAGTTGGAGATCTCTATGTTGGAGAAAGGCCACTGAATGCCAGGCATTCTTGGATCTGGAGAAGGGTATTTTCCGGGCTGTTGAAGTTTGCGCGAGGACTTTATGCGCCACTGTCTCTCTGTCTTGGCTGTTGTCTGTGGCTCCTTTTCAGGCCCACAGGTGGGCGGTCCTGCTGGGAGGCCCGGCAGTCAGGCCTGCTAACTAAGTCTCTTGACGTTCTTTTACAATCCATGGTTGTCCCTAACTTTTACAATCTATGGTTGTCCCTAACCTCTCCATTTCCTGGTGAGGGCAGAGCGATTCAGGGTCCTTGCCTGGGGGCCTTTTGAAATGCAAACTCTCAGGCCCCACCCAAGACCTGCCAGATCCAGTTCCCCAAGGCATCTGTTTGCACTTTGAGGTTTGAGAAGCCCTGATCTAGAGTGTCTTGGGGTGACGTTTTCTGTCCAGTATAAAAGAGTGATTTCTAACACATTCCATCCAGTCTTTTATTTGAATCTTATTTTAACGGTCAGGACCCACACTTATGCCACACCACTCCCAACCCCTCCGTCCCAGGGTGACTCGCTCTTTCTCCAGATTTGGAACACACTTAATGGATTAACTCACAGGTTTTTGTTTCTGGATCTTTATAATTATGGAAATATGCGTAACATGAAATTCACCGTTTAATCTTTCTCAGTGTACGCTGCAGCGGCATTAAATTCATTCGCAATGTGCAGAATTTTCCATCATCCCACACAGAAACTATCTGTACCCATTCCCTCCGCTCTCCAGCGTCCTGGGCCTCTGGATACTTCTAATTCTATTTTTAACTAAGCATAGATGTCTGGAGATCTAACTTTGTCCTCCCCCCTCACTGGGGATTGAATCTGCACTTTTTTTTGACGGTACTGGGGTTTGAACTCCGAGCCTCAGGCTGCCATTTGAGCCACTCGGCCAACCCTTTTCTTGTTGGGTATTTTTGATATAGAGTCTTTGCGAACTGTTTGCCCGGGCTGCCTTTGAACCTCGATCCTCCTAATCTCTGCCTCCTGAGTAACTAGGATTACAGGCATAAGCCACTGGTGCCCGGCTGAATCTGCACTTCTTTTAACTGGCTTTAGCAGGTGTCCTATTGATATTTGGTTTAGTTTCTCCGCACACACACTTTTTTTTTTTTTTAACACAGACTCAAACTAATTTTTGAAAGTATTTGGAAAGAAATCTCGAGAAAAAAATTCTCTTTGTAAATATTGGGAAGAAGACACAAGATTTCAGAAAAAGATTTGAAATAATTTCCCAAAAAACCCAACCTGTTTTGTTTCTGCTTTAATGCAAAATGACTTGTAATGTTCCCCTGCCGTCACTCTTCGTCATAGAAATGTTTGTATAACATAGAAAAGCCTTGTAATCACGAAAGTTATCTGTTTGCATCTGCTTAAAATGGCCCAGCTGTGGTTTGAGGACACACTTTTCAGTGAGAACGTAAATGCCAATTGGTGAGCTAATAAAAAGTTTCATTCATCATCTTTAGAAAGTTATTGTTTTAGGACAAGAATGTGGGGCTGGAAGCGTGGCTCAAGTGGCTGAGTGCTTGCCAGCACCAAGCCTTGAGTTCAAACCCTGTACAAAAAATACAAATAAAAAAATATGGTTCAGAACGCATGAGTGGGCAGGAATATTGGGAAGACTTAATAAATAGCTGACTAGTGGGTGATCCATTATACACTCCCCTGATTCTTTTTTCTTAAGACCCTTGACTTTGATTGTGTTAAAACTCTCATCAAAGTGAGATGATGGAGTGGTAGGATTTACAACTTCCTTTGATTGAAAAGTGCTTTTGAAATGGGAGAGATATGGCAGAAAATTCCCTCTCTCAGAAGATTCCTGCATTCACACGATGTCAGACTGTTAATTCCTTTTGATTCAAGTGAGACAAGAGAAAAGATTTCCTCTCTTTTAATATGTTCTTTTTCAAAATAACAGTGTAGTTGAGTGTTTTATCTGGTGAGCAAATGCTATTTTGCTGTCCGTACATGAGAAAAAACTCCTTAGGCCAAGGGATGGTTTTATTGTGCTTTCCTGATGTCTGGGACATCATCTGAGAGCATAGTGAAGGTGGAAACTCCAGACTCGCTTAATCACAGCCTTTATGTCAGAATACGTACGTTTAATAGCATCTTGAGTAGTTCTGATTTGGGGATCACTTGGATAATACTTGGACACGTGTGCAAGCTAAGCGATAAGTAAAAAAAAAAATTGTGGTGCTGCAGATTGAATGCAGGGCTAAGTGAGCTCTCTACCAGTAACACCCCTAGCTCCTCATTCATAGATACTGTAAAATGAATCTGAATTTTATATGTAAATGAAATAAAATTAACAATAGGTTCATTCTTAAAATTAGGTAGTTCAAGTTTGGCAATTCCAATCAACACCTTTTTTCCCCCTCTTTTTTCTTATCAACACCCTTTTTGGGGGCGAGGGTAATGGGGTTTGAACTTAAGGCTTCCTGCTCTACTGCTTTAGTCACACCTCCAGTCCCCATGAACACCTTTGATGTTGATTGTCATTGAGGCTTAGTATCCTAGCATCCAGAAGAGCTCCTGGTCCTCAGAGGAGAGCTCAAGGTGCTTGACTTTGACTTAGTGTCAGTGAACTTTTGTTGTGTGCCTGTTAAAAATCAAGGATTTCCAGATATATTAAATCTTTACAACAACCTTGGGGGTGGGTGGGTGGTATTTTTAACTTCTCATTTTACAGAAGAGAAATTTCAGGTTCCCCTTTGTCTTCTTGCTTGAAACCAGGGCTCCTTCCATGGTCCTCCATGTAGAATTATAAGTCCCTGCCTACTCATTCTCCTTCATTAACTCTTCATTCAAATCTTTTGGAACATCAGTTACTACACTAGGCCTTGAGGCAAATAAAAAATGAGCAGACCTGAAGCAAATTCCAAAGGAGGACAGACTTGAAGAGCAAAGGGTTCTGTCCATGCACCCAAGACATCTGATGGGTTAGATTACACTTGGCCTGAATATGCTGTTAGTGTGCTAGTACAACTCACAGCAGGCAATCTGGGACATTTTTCCTACTGTGATGGGTCAGAGGTGTCATCCCTGCATGTCAGCCTGATAGTAGTACCTACACAGTGTAAAAGAAAGGGCATTCAGCTAGGCGTGATGGTACACACCTGTAATGCCAGCACTGGGAGTGGGGGTAAGCACAAGATTAGTTGTGGCAAGGCTGACCTCTACTTCCCCCAGCTGAATAAACCAGAATAAATCTCAATAACTCAGAGCTGCTGCATGCCTGTGTAGAAAATTAGGGGAATAAGTACCTCCCTCCAGGATTATAGTGAGGACTCAAAAAAGTCTTATTTGTAAAATAATAATAATAATGCTTATAAACTATAAAATGGTAATGAAAGCTATCTCTTATCTTTATTTGGGAGAAATTTATTATTCCAGGGAGACAGAAAAAGCCACACACTTTTTCCTAGCAAAGTGCCTAGCACACTTTTTAGCTTAACATTTTTTCAATTGACTGCGTCTGATTGTAATTGTCATTAATGATTGTAATTGTCATTAACTTTAAGCCAATTTTAAAAAGTTTTGTTGAGATATAATTCACCTGCCCTACAATTCACCTGTTTGTAGTGCACAGCTTAGTCTCATTTAGTATATTCACAGTTGTGTAACCATCACCATGAATAGGTATAAACATTTTCATTGCCCTACAAAAAACACCCACCTATAAGCTCCCTTCACCTCTTAACTGGCACCTCTCCTTCCCCATCAGGCGCCCCTCCCAGAGTGACTTTGTCTAGTCCAGCCATTTCCTATAAATGAAATTATATAATATATAGCCCTTTGTGTCTGCTTCCTTTATAATGGAACCAGAAACATTTCTTCATGTTTTCAAAGATTATCTGCACTATAGTGTGCATCAGTTTTCATTATTATTATTTTGTGTGTGTGTGTGTGTGTGTGTGTGTGTGTGTGTGGTGCGGGGGATTGAATTTAAGACCTTGTACGTGCTAAGGGGATTCTCTACCACTGGGCTACATCTCCAGCCTCAACTTAATTCTTTTTATTGCTGACTAATCAGCTATTGTATAGCTATACCACATTCTGTTTACCCATTCGTCTACATTTTGGCCATTCATAATGAATGCTGCTATGAACATTCATGTTCAAGTGTTTTTTTTTTTTTTGGTAGGACTTGGGTTTGAACTCAGGACCTTGCACTTGCAAAGCAGGCACTCTACTGCTACCTTTGCTCCAGTTATTTTGGAGATGGGAGTCTCGAGAACTATTTCCTGGGGCTGACCTCAAACTGCAACCTTCTGGATCTCAGCCTCCCAAGTAGCTAGGATTACAGATGTGAACCACTGGCGCCTTGTGTGTACATATGTTTTCATTTCTCTCGGGTGCATACCTAGAAGTGGAAAACATATGGTGGTC